ATTTTTTTTAAAAAAAAAAGATCCTTTCAAGCCAAAAAATAGAGCTTGGTCCTCTATGATCTACCTCCACTGTCTAGAGGCCTTCCTCCTGTTGTTCTGTTCTGGTTTTACAGGGAGGTGAGTCTGGGCTTGCCCCCGTGGTCTTGGATTTGAAGAGTTTGTGAAGAATCCTATTTGGGAAAGGTCTGCCATTCTAACTGGAGACTCATGCTTAGGCTAGGGGCCAGTGCTGACCTCCTAGGGACCTACTGTGTATCTGTCTCTCAGAACCACGCTACACAAATTCTTTACAGAAGCACAGCTTGAGTAAGGAGTACCAGTGTTGCTGGGCAGTTGGCCCCACAGGCTCTGCTGGGTGAGGATGTGCCAGCTGGCAGATATTCCAGGGAAAATGTCTGCATCATGTTTCTATCAGTGTGTACTGGAAATGTGGGCCTGGAACTAGGTTGTAGGGTGTCCTCTTCAATGTACAAAGGAATTTCCTCCAAACAATAGCACATGGAGAAATGGATGGTTGCATTGTGTGTGCTAGTGAGCTGTCATGTTTCTACCAAGGCTGGCTCTAGCTAGACTGATCATATTTACTTAGTAACGGCCCTGTGCCCTTTTCATCATGTCCCTGCCTTGAAAACTCTGCTCTCCCTTGCTAGCTCCTCATCCCGTTGATGACAAAATCCCCTTCATCCATCAAGACTCCATCCAAACATCACTTCTTCTGTGAAACCTTCCTTGACAGCTGGTACCCACCTTGCCGTCCTCCACAGCAACCACAGCTCTGCAGAGTCACAGGGCAGCCCTACCACACCATCTTGCAATTCAGTTTTACCCCATGAACTATACATTTCTCAAAAGTTGCATCTGGTCCTCCTGGTATCTTTCTGCAACCACAGGCACTTAGCAGTAGGGATAGAAAGGCAGATCAGGCTGGCTTGTTTTAGGCTTCTAAAGTGTATATGGTTTAGAAGGACAGTGTCAGGAGGCTGGAGTGAACAGACAACCTGAAAGAAAGACTTGCCTTTTGCATTCAGAAGCCAGACCCTAGTGCTGGCATGAAGTCAGTTCACTGAACAACAGCATTCGGATCACCAGGCCATGGAGAAATAAGTACAAGTTTTTATTTCTTGGCCCTCTTTTTTTAAATCAGAGCCAAGACGGAGAACCCCAGCAGAAACACCAGGATATTGCAGTTTCTGATGCCACTGAAGCCCAGGAACATGGTAGGTATAGCCCACGCTGCCTCAGCTATATGAGTGCTGAGATTATAGGCATGAGCCAACATGCCCAGCCTTCCTCTGCTTCTGACAATGAAATCAATAGTCCCAAAGATTCCAAAACATTTCCAAATAAAGTGGGAAATTTCACAGAAAAGTTGGAAGAGATAAGGGTCCCTTTTCCTTAAAGAACCTCCGTGCTCTTTCCTCTTACTCTGGCGCATCAGCGTTAAGATTGAAGGTGCAGGGGCTGGAGATGGAGCTTAATTAGCAGGGTGTTTGTTGGTAGCATGCACTGAGCCCTGGGTACAATCCTAAGCACCTCATGAAACCGGGCTTGGTGGCACACACCTGCAGTCCCAGAACTCAGGCAATGGTTTACTACAGAGCAAGTTAGAAGTCAGCCTGGCTTATGCAAACCTTGTCTCAAAACAATTTTCTTAAAGGTATAGACATATATTCTGCAAGGCCTGGGCCTCTGCAAGCCTGGGAAGGCCAGGTGAGGTGTTACCCTTCTTTATGACCTTCTACCCAGCATGAGGACTCAGTGAACTGCAGTTATCCGAGAAGCAGGGGTGTAAGCGTGTGAATTACTGGACAAGTTGTCATTCCATGTGAAAACATGTTGGCCATGGTGGATGGCTGAGACTTGAGCTATGTAAATATCTCAAGCTTGACTTTGAAAGTATTCTTAGGTCAGAATATCATCTTATTGAGCTGAGATGAAATTGGAAAAGTCAGAGCAAACATTTCACCTGGCTTTAAATAAATGGTTTGTTTTTTGTTTTTTTTTTTAAGACAGGGTCTCCCTGTAGCCACAGCTGGTCTGGAACTTACTGTTCCAGGCTCCCCTCTATCTTGCAGCAATCGACCTGCCTCTGCCTCACAAGTGCTGGGATTTAAAGGCGCTCACCACCACACTTGGCTTAGCTTTAAATAAATCTTGGTGTGAGGCTGTGCTGCCATCTCCTCTCAGATGAAAGTAGTCCATGGGTGCTGCCGCCTCCTTCCCTGCCTGCCTGTCTTCCTTACAGGTTCTAAGTGCAGACATGGCCTGCCAGGGCCAGTTGTCCCACCCCTGCAGCAAGGCAGCTCTTCACCCAAAGAGCTGGGAACCAGTGGCTTCTTTGGGTTTCTAAGGTAAGACGAACTTCTCTGCCAGCACCCAAACAGGATGCTAGTTCTGGTGCTTGCCTTGTTGAGTCTTTTGGAGGGAAAGAGAACTAAGAAGAAAGCCAATTACTTGCTGAAGTTTCTCAGTTATATCCAAGAACAAGGGTCCTGATCCAAAACACTGCACACTCTTTGCTCTTTAAAAATATTCTATTGGGCTGGAGAGCTGGCTCAGCTGTTAAGAGCACTGACTGCTCTTGCAGAGGACCTGGGTTCAATTACCAGCACCCACATGGCGTCTACAAACCATTATTCCAGTTCCAGGGGAATCCAAAGCCCTCTTCTGACCTCCAAGGCATTGCATGGCATGTGTGCACTCACATACATGCAGCAACACATTCATACACATAAAATAAAAATAATAAAAAATTTTTTTAAAAAGATTGTATTTGCCAGGCGTGGCAGTGCACACCTGTAGTCCCAGCACTTGGGAGGCACAGGCAGGCAGTTCTCTATGAGTTCAAGGCCAGCCTGGTCTACATAGTGAGTTCCAGGTCAGCTGGGGCTACAAAGAGACCCTGTTTCAAAAGATCAAACCCAAAAAGAATGTGTTTGAAAATACCTCAGAATCCATACCATGCCTCTGTAAAAGCTAAAGGTGTGAGACAACCTGTTTTCTTTTTCTTGGACATGACATGCAGTGCTGCAGAGGTCAGAAGAGGGCTTCGGATTCCCCTGGAACTGGAGTTAAGGACGGTTCATAGCCACCATGTGGGTCATCTGCAAGAGCAGTCTGTGCTCTTAACTGCTGAGCCATCTCTCCAGCCCCTATATACTATTTTTTTTAATTTTATGTGTGTGAGTGTATTTCCTGCATGTATATAAGTGCACCTGTGTTGTGCAATGCCCTTGGAAGTCAGAAGAGGGTGTCGGATTCCCCTGGAACTAGAGTTATGGACAGTTGTTAGCTGCCTTGTGCATGCTGGGAATCGAACCCAGGTCCTCTGCAAGAGCAGCCAGTGCTCTTAACCACCAAGCCATCTCTCCAGCCCCCTTATTGTTTTTATTTTATGTATGTTTTGTCTGTACCTGTGTAGTGCAATGCCTGCAGAGGCCAGAGGCATTGGATCCCCCTGAAGTTGGAGTTACAGGCTATTGTGAGCCACTTGATTAGGGTGCTAGGAACTGAACTTGAGTCCTCTGCAAGAGCAATGCTCGCTCTTAACCACTGAGCCATCTCTCCAGACCCTGTTGTTGTTTGAGACAGGGTCTCCCTGTAACCCATTTGGTCTAGAACTCACATGTAGATCAATTTGGCCTGGATCTCACAGAGATATGCCTGCCTCTGCCTCTAAGTGGTAGGTTTAAAGGTATGTGCCACCACACCCTTTTTTTTTTTGTCTTTTTGAGACAGGGTCTCCCTGTAGCTCCAGCTGGCCTGGAAGGCCTGGAACTCGCTATGTAGACCAGGCTGGCCTTGAACTCAGAGATCCGACTACCTCTGCC